CGTCTCGGTCTCGATCACACCGATCCCGGTCGGCCCGATTGCGATCATCACGACCCCGATAATTTTGCCCTTCCCGCTCTGCAGCCGTGATGCGTGGTACGATGTCATCGAAAGGATTGGAGAGGACTTTGATCGTGTTTATCTTTGGCGGGTAGGTGGGCCGGCCGGTGCTGTCGATCTCGAGTTGTCCGATCTTGAGCACATCTGATAGAGATTAGTTCATTCAAAGTACCGGCATGGGCGACAAAGTACGGACTGTAGGTCGTATCCCCCACTACCCGACCAAACAGCGTGTTCTTCCCTTGCAGTTCATCCGCCCTATCTGCACGGTCTCAGTAGCTGTCAGCAGACTGGGTTATACCGAACCGAGTGTGATAAAGAACTGCGAGTCGTTCGTGTTGGTTCCTTCCCCGCTTGCGCAGCCTACGAGGCCGCGGTGGGTCCATCGGAGACGTGGATGGGGTTCGCTCTCGAACGGTTCTACATGGGGAAACGTAGTGAATCAAAGCAAGAATGATGAAGTAGATCAGGTAGCACTTACCTCCAAAGAATGATCCCCCGCCATTTCCCGTGCCCGTGCGGTCACCCGTCTGTACCAAGAATCCCGGGACGACTTGACTTGGGCCCTGCTCTTATTGGGTGACATGACTGGCTCCGAACACAAAACCGGTCCTGGAATCTTGTTCCCACTCTGTTGGGCTCCAAGGGCATAATTATTTTTTTTGCCCTCGATTATCATGCTGGACCCACCTTTCTCTTTGCCATGACCTGGGCTTGCATCCATTGTCAACGTGTCCTCCAGACTCGACATGGGCTGCAAATTCATCAAGCCCTTTCTCCTCTCTGCTTACAGGCAGCTATGTTGGTGGCTCGGCATGAAGCCAGTGCACATGCACACGACGCACTGTATGGCATTCATGAGGATGAACCTGTGCCAGATCTCGTCGACATTGGCGAGGATGGTTTCTTGCTTGACTCAGAAGCTCTGGACGATCTGCTTGACTTAGGCAACGAGTTTATGGATGAGGCTACTAATATCGAGGAAACTGTTTGATTGGAGCCTTCTGGGCCACGCAACTTTGAAGTTTACTTTCCGGGCGAGGTGGCTACTACTTACGGGGAATCCCGACTGCCTTTTGAGGTGATCCGGGATCACCTCCTTGCCACCTATGGGACCGTTTGGGGCACATTCCGGTGTGCAGAGGAGTGGGATTTAGCTTGGCAGCTCTTGCGGAGTCACTTGCCAATTTGGAAAATCAATACTTTCCTCAAGACACCCCTGGTACGTGTATCCCTCAAAATGCTGACCATGCTGATGTTCAATTTTGGGCACAGCTCCAGAACCGACCAGTGGTGACCTTTCATTCTCACAAAGAGCTCTGTGCCCTGGTCGATCAGCACCTACCGCAAGTCCCTAGATTCGAAGCTATTCCTGTCAACATTGGTCTAGAGTCAAAAGATCCCACCCGGGTCGTACGTGTCGAGCTGTGGCGGCGAAGCCTCGTCAATTGTCTCCAGGATTTGTTGGGCAACCCCTCCCTCAATGGCCAAATTGATTTTGCTCCCCGAAAGATATACACCGATAGCAGCCTCCAATCTCGACTGTACTCTGAGTTTTCCACGGGGGATCACATGTGGGAACTACAGGTAATGTGTTCCCTACTCATTCATATAAGAACCTCTCTAACGGGGATACCAAGGGAGCACTCCCACCAGGGCCACTGTGATTGGCATCATCCTCTCCTCAGACAAGACCCAGCTCGCCAACTTCCGCTCAAATTCTACTGCGTGGCCTGTGTATATGTCAATTGCCAACATTCACAAGGATTTCCGGCGGAAAATCAACAACCGTGCCATGGTCCTCCTTGGATATCTCCCCACGGCCAAGCTCAGAGAAATCGAGCACACAACTGACCGTGCGATCCGCCTTCACGATCTCTTTCATCATTGCATGACACATTTGCTCCAAGAGCTTCGTACTCTTGGGGCCGAAGGAATCATGATGGTGTGTCCCGACAAGAAGCTCCGGCATATTTATCCTGTCGTGGTATCTTACATTGCGGATCATCCAGAACAGTGCCTGGTGGTTGGCTGCAGACAAAACCGGTGCCCCCTGTGTCTCGTCAATTGGAAGGAAAGGAGTCAACCTCTTGTAGGAGCCCCCCGACAAATGAATGTGTACTCGTACTTCAGAGAAACCTCTGAGTCACTCCGAGAGTACTACAATCGTTGTTCTCTGGCAGGAATGGTCGCAATCACTCAGCCCTTTTGGGAACAGCTACTTCACTGCGACATCTTCTCCAGTATTACACCGGACATTTTGCATGAGCTGCACAAGGGCTTGTTTGGAGATCATCTCCGAGACTGGTTAGCTGAGGTCATTGGATATGGACAGCTCGACCACTGCTACCGGAGCATGCTACCACACGACAATCTCATCCACTTCCCCCAAGGTATCATGTACCTTGACAAGATTACTGGCACCGAATATAAGAATATGGAGAAAACTTTCTGTGGGGCTATTGGCGGTCTCACACCACATCATCTTCAGCATCCGACACGTGCCCTCATTGACATGATCTACCTTTCTCAGCTGCCTCTACATACCACATCGACCCTGAACAAGCTTCAAGCATGTTGGGAAGAATTTCACGCCCACAAAGAAGTGTTCGTCGAGTATTTCGCATGCAAGAACTTCAATTTCCCCAAAATGCACAAGCCAAATCACCATATTTCTTCGATCCAGTCCAGAGGAACCTTGGACAACTTCAGCACAGAGCTCCTCGAGCATCTCCACATCTCTCTAGCCAAGGACGCCTACCGTGCCGGTAACTGACGTGATTACATTCGATTCATGGCTCAATGGCTGCATCGTGATATGACGATCGACCATTTCTGTCGATTTCTCTCTTGGTCTCTCCACAATGACACTTCTTCGGCTGGGACTCATCAAGGTGCCCTCCCTGATCATGCTCGATTTAAGGCAGCGGAGGAGGGCAGTGGCAGGCATCAAATCCTCCCTTTCCTTGCCAGCTTGGTCAAAGGGAGTATCAATGAGCAATGTCTTAAATCGAACAATTTGGTCGGGATCTCCCATGCATTGGCAGTGAGACCCAAATATCCGAACCTTGATTTATCCATGCTGTGCAAAATCTTTTGTGCACCTAATTTCCTGGTTCGCCTGCAAATGTATCTCAAAACCAACTATCCAGCTTGTCATTGGATCCCAGGGGAAGAAGATCGTTTTTCTTGCCATGATCATGTGCGCATCCTTGTCCCGGCCCTACCAGGACAGAATGAATGCCTGAAGCTCACCGTACACTGTCGGCCCGCTCCCGAAATTGCTGTTGTGCGAGGCCAGAGAATCAATGCACGCTTCGACACTGTTATCATTCCCACCAGAGGTTCAAGTCACCCTCTTCGGGGCCACTCAGTTGCGATCCTGCGTGCCGTCTTTATCCTTGGGGCCCGCCCAGGATTACCGCCCCAACAACTGGCATATATCGACTGGTTCCAAGACCCGGTGATGACCAATAATGCGGCACATCTATATTCGGTTAAGAAAATCTCGATGCGAGACCCAAGCCAAGGCGAGATAGTTCAACTTAGCAGCATTGCAAGGTCGTGTCACCTCTTCCCCATCGTGTCAAATGAACTATGGAGTGCCCCACTCATCCCCAGCAAAATCTTGGATACTTACGAGTTGTTTTGGGTCAACCCTCACATTGATCTCAATTTCTTTTACACATACGTATTGTCCAAATGATTGGTGCTTGGACAAGCTCAAATGACAATGCTGAGTTCAAATTAATGCTGCACCTAACAGTTCTGGAGGGAGAAAAACAGATTCCATTGCTTGCTCGATATGTTCATCTGTATCTACTGTAGGCAACGATCACACAAAACCCTCCTCCATCCCTGCTCCATCCTTCCCACCTCTCCTTGACTGTGACCTCCTCAATCCACCTCTGCGTCATCTGGCACGATGAAGTCCTTCATTTCCTCATCATCTTCATCATCATCGTCTTCTTCATTGTCCATATCAACATCCACTCTATCTCCTGGTCCTTCCGAGTCTGTAGTGCCAGATGCATCTTCATCCAAGTGTTCTGCATGTTGCTGCCTGCAACGAGGCTTGACGACTTGCTTGCCCTTCAATGAGCGAGTGTTGACAGCCTTGCGAGCTCTGGTCGAATGCTCTTCCAGAGCTTGGAGGTTTCCAGCCGCACCTCATTCAAGCACCCACACATTCACGTCTAAGCGGTCATCGATCTCGTCCCAATCCTCAGGACCCCCATTATCTCCATCCGCAAACCAAGCGAAATTCAGAAGCCAGCGCTTGCTTTCATAGTTGAGATCGGTACCGCGCTTAGGTTTGATAACGTCCCAATCCTTGAGACTGACTGTACTAATCGTTAGCTGCAGTTCAATTTAACGCAGGGGTCAAGGATATACTTTGACAATAGCCTTCTTTATGAAACAGGCAACGTTTGGCACCATCAATGCAATGCTGGCAGCGACGTCCATGAAATTGAATACATGCGCAATCTATCCCTCGACCAGTCGCCCTCGGATCTCCCTGGGGATACTCATGGCATACGTCGTGGCGACAATGGTAGCACATTTCTGCCCCGAAGCAGATCTGCAATAGAGGTCAGCCAGTTCTCCAACGTTGCCTTAAATTGTGCTTACCACTACAACATCATCCAGTACCCTTATCTCGTTGTTATCTGCACGGAGCTCAGGGTGGATCTCAATCACACCTAGCTCATGGGCAATGTCGTAGGCAGGGGTTTGCAATTCGGAGAATATTTGGTTGTCACCTAGTTCAGGTGCTCGCAGCAGCGTTGGAGTCAGGCCGGGTGTTGCATGGCGAGACTTGCGCTTATGCAGCAAAGCCCGCATTTGAAAGTCGTTGACAGTGCGTTCGTGGCGGGTGTGGACTAAGATATTTTTGAATATCTCATCAGCAGTCCATTTCTGGTTGCCGCGGCCAGGATCTCCAAGTGCTTCATCGCTGAAGTCAGGTTCTTCCTTTGAAATGCGCTGGACGTCATACTTGAGGACAGTGAGGAGAGCATCCGGCATTCCTTCGAAACTGAAGGCCCAGTGCTCGAGTGGCAGTTTGAGATGCCAGCGAGCACAGTGCTTCATGAGACTGAGAAGAGCGCGCACAAAGAAGCTGGTTGGGGGGGAATCATATGCTCGACGATGCTCCATATTGGTACGGTGGTTCGAATGAGCATGAATCTGACAAATAGAACAGATGGAACTTACAATGTGGTCCCTCGTAGTGGTCATCCATGTGGACACACGCTGGACAGGTGCATCTGGTATCTTTGGCCATGGACGGGTTACATCGATGAGTTCGACAACAGTGCGTGTGGAGTAATGATTGATTGTCCACCACTGCGGCATGTTCAGTATGTCATCCCGCTTCAGCTCCTTGATGAAACTGATTATGTCGAGGTTGCCCCACTTGCCGTTCACTTGATCAAGAAACTCGAACTTAGCCTGGATGTTGAACATTCACTTCCAGACGTAAACATTGAGGATGTTCGACATCAGAGGTCCATGCATCTGCACCCAGTCTTTCGACTGGTCAGCCAGGAGCACCACAAAGTATGCATTCTATGAAAGGTTAGTCCATGTTCGATAAGGCAGGCGCCAGATACTCACAAGGACTTCCACATGCGCCTGGATAGCAATCTCAGCCTCGGCCAGATTGACGTTGTACAGTGAGGGGATCGAGGGGAGCTCTTCAATGGCATCGATAAGATCTTGGGCCATTGTGCAGGAGAGGATACGATCTGCGGGAGACAGCCTGGACTGGTCAATGATGTTCCGCGCCCAAGACTCAATGGTTGCATCATTGATGAATCCCTTTCAAATCCGCCGCCATTTGGTCTTTTCATGCTGTTCGAAAGGATCATCGTCCTCCTTCTTCTTCCTCTTCGGGCGAGGATCGGCTTTTCTCCACTTGTCCCCTTGGTTCTCAGCAAAACGAAGTAAGATTTTGTATCATTGTTGTTCGAACAGAAGATGCGAGTCTGCCCAGTGCGTGAAGAAGTCCTGGTACTATGGTGAGCTCGGTTTACTCATCACAATCTTAACAAGCTCACCTGCAGCCTATTCAGATTGTTCGCCCAGTCGACATACTGCTCGTAGTCTGCTGCATCCGGATCTGGAGCTGTGCCTACGAGGTCGAGAAGTTTGGACTCAGCGTTGACTCGACGCTGGATTGCCATTGCAAGTTCCATCTTGCTACGATCATATGGCTGGCTTGCAGTTGATGACTGAGAAGAGTCGTTAATAATATCTTGGGTGAGGATCTGGGGATGGAGGTGAGTATGTCTACGCTGCCTTGAATCGAACTGACAAGCTCACCTTGTCTCCGTCCACTGTGTCCAGTGCCTGGCTGTATATGCCGCCGTCATTGTGCTCATCCTCCATCAGCTCATCCTCCTCATCCTCTTCATGTTCTGTGTGCTGATTGTCCTCGTCCTGTGCCGAGCGTGTTTGTACGTGTTTTTCCATATGTTCGCATGGGAACCCTTTGTACTTTGATTGTTCGCATGGGCTGATCTTCCGTTTCAGCTGGATCTAGTTCGTCGAGTTCGTCTAGTTCGTCCAGTTCTTCCTCCAAGAGATGAACTTCCTCACCCTGCTGGCTTGTTGGGATGGCTGCATCCCAATCATAGCTTTGGGGGATGAAAGCATCCTGTCGAGCATTCTGGGCAGCTTGCTCGGCTTGCTGAGCAGCCGCAGCAAGTTCCCGCTGCTCCTCCATGGAACGCTCTGCAGCTCAAGCACTAGCCTTGTGTCGTATACTGGATAGGGGGGGAAATGATAGCAATGGGGAAAAACGAGGTACTTGAGTCGATGGCGGCGTTGTATCCATTGATGAGGGAGGAGTGGATTGAGCCATATTGAGTTGAAGGAGACAAGCGGGTTCAGTGTTTTTTTGATGTTGTTGTTTTTGTTTTTTTGGTGTAATATTTGGAGTTTGTGGACGTAGTACTGAGGTTGGTTGTATGAGGGGAAGGGATGAGAATAGGTGGATGGTGGTGGTATGGAGAGATCGTATTGCGTTGGGGGGGGGGGGGGGGGGGGGTTTTTGGGGGG